AGAGATGCCGAGTCTCAGCTCCTGCCCGACGTGGGGGCCGTGGTGACGTGCAAGGTAGGGCACCGGAGCGCGCTGCCATAGCAGACCGCACAGCCCTTGCTCTCTCTGCCCCATGCTGACCTTTCTTCCTGTCCGCCTCTGGGGTGGGACAAGGAGCCCCTTGGCCACTTGATACCCTCTGCACAACTCCCAGCAGGGCAGAGGCAGCCCAGTAGCTCCCTCAGGTCCCTTGCTCACAAAGAACCCAGATATCGGCATGGGGAATACCTGCCTCTTGACATTCCCTGCCCTTGCTGCCTGCCCGGAGCCTGAGGTGGGCTGAGGGGAGGGTATTCTTTGCTCTCCCTTCCAGAACTCCTTTTGGGGCAGGGTGGTGGAGAGCAGTGCCCAGGACAGCTTGGAGGAAGGGTGGCACAGACCAGGGATTAGTTTCCTTATGGTCCTGATGGTGGGAGAGGGACTGGGGTCATAGCAGGTCTTGGTCTTATTCGTGGGTCTTGAGTTGCACAAGTATCATCTTCCTCCGCTGGCTCAGTGCCAGGTGTCCCACCTCTGCCACCGCTTCTTTGGTCACGAGGAGGAGGAGGCCGAGTGAGACACAAGCTCCTCGTGTACAGCCCTGTCCTGCCTGCACCCTGCCCTTTCCCTGCCGGAGCAGGGTGCACTGGGGTGAGAGCAGGCCAGTGCTGGCCCTGATTCCCCTTTTCCTCCGGGCAGGTTTGCAGCATCAACTCCCGCTTTGCCAAGGTGCACATCCTGTATGTCGGCTCCACGCCACTGAAGTCCACCTTCCGTGGCACCATACGGTAGGGAGGGGGCTGGGTTCCCCACGGGATGGGGTGCCCAGGCACCCCATCCTCAAGGGGGGAGGAAGGCTTTTCTGGGCAGCACAGCCGGCTGCCCAGGCAGGAGCTCTGCCCCGAGCGTCGGGCTTGTGTCCAGCAAGTACTGGCGAGCGCCCAGGGATGCCGGGGCAGCTCCTGCCACGGGCTGGAGAGTCGCCTTCGCTCACTGGCGCTCAGATGCCTCCGTCTCATTTTTCAGGAGAGAAGATATTCGAGCCACGGAGAAAGATAAGGTCAGTGAGGCTCTGCTGGTGACTCTGCTACTGCAGCCACCCCCACTCCTCTTTTCTGCTGGTGGGGGGCACTTGTCCCACCACTGACAAGCACGCCGACATGCTGCGCGGTTTTGCCTGTTCTCTCCCGTGCAGGTAGAAGTGTACAAGAGTTTCCGCCCTGGTGACATTGTCCTGGCCAAAGTCGTATCCTTTCCCCTCGTGCCGAGAGGGCCTGCGGGGGACAGCGGGTTTGCTCAAGTCCCCTCGGGGAGGCCTTTCCCTTAACCCCGTCTAACCAGATCTCACTGGGGGACGCGCAGTCCAACTACCTGCTGAGCACGGCAGAGAATGAGCTGGGCGTGGTGGTAGCGCGCAGCGAGGCAGGTAGGGACAGGCTGCGGGGCCCAGGCTTGGACAGTTCTGCCTCATCCCCCCGCCTGAGGGGCAGCTGAGTTGGCCTCCCCCCTTCCCGCATGGAAGAACGCAATTTTGAGAAGGGGAACCCCTGACGTGTGGTGTCCTTAGGTGTGCAGATGGTGCCCATCAGCTGGTGTGAGATGCAGTGCCCGCGGACGCACACCAAGGACTTCCGTAAGGTGGCCCGCGTGCAGCCCCAGTTTCTGCAAACCTAGCAGGACCCTGCCCTGAGGAGCTGCGGAGACCCTGCAGGGCCAGGGGCTGCTGACCTGGGGGCTGTGGGGCTGGAGCAGCCCCTGGGCTCCAGTCTCCTCCACGCAGGCAGGAGGCTGGAACAGCCGGATGAGCCCTCGCTCACAGGGTGGATTTTCTATTTGTGGATAATAAATATTTTTTGAGAGCTCGGTGGTCTGCTCAGTTACAGCCCACAGAGGGATGGCTGGGGCTGGCTGCAGCCCACTGGCCCAGCCCTTGTAGCAGAGCTGTTGAGGGGACAGGTTCCCCAGCCCTGTGGCCAGGAGGAAGCACATGTTCCCAGTCCGCTGCTGCGGAAGGGGAACAACCCAGCAGCTTTGCCACCACGAGGTGAACGGCAGAGAGCTGGTTTGTGGCTGGGTAGCGCTGGCTCCAGGCACTCGCCTCCCCTGCTTGGTTTCCCCGCACCCTCATCAGGCGTGGAGAACAGCTTGTCTCCCTGCACTGATAACCCATACAGGCTGTGGCGCCGCATCTCCTCCGACACGTGCCCTGCCTGCCTCCGGGGACAAGGGCGTGCCACACCCCGAGCCAGTAAAGCACGGATTCCGGCAGATTGTGGGGCTGTGCTTTGCTCCCCCAAGCCCAGAATGCCCTCTGCCCCACACACCTGGGAGCACGTGGCAAAGAAAGCACCAACACCTGGTTATTGCGTGTTACTTTTATTGAACTGGAACAAGACAGCTGCTATTGTCAGACAGTTACACTGACCCCATGCAAGCCCAGGCTCGCAGCACCGGCAGAGGGGGAGGCCACGTATGCAGGGCCATGTACATGGTATGGGGCACAACAGCACCTGCTGCACGAGCAGGACTAGGATGGGCTTCGGCTGGGGAAAGGATGCAGTGGACACGAACCTCCGGATGACAGGCTCCCTCCCTCGCCCTTGTCCAAAGGCAATAAGTTAAAGCAGGGGCTGGCAGAGCTAGGTCCGGAGTGGCGAGTACCACCCTTGGGTGCTGTACCACCAAAACACAACCCTTTCAGCGTCTATGCATCCTGACCCTCAATGCCACACACCCACCAGCGGATGGGGTACCCATCTTGGTCGCTGCCTGTGCGGTGCTTGCCCCACTGCTCCCGGGATGACTAACTCAAGCAACAAAACTACAGTAACCGGGTGACGAGAGCTGCTGGGGAAGCAAAGCATAGGAGGAGCCTGGCACAGCAAGGGATTGCTTGGCACATCCCCCTGCAGACGAGGCCCGAGGGCTGGGATCTTAGCACGGAGAGGTGTGTGGTTGCTGCCTGGCAGAACCAGGGCTCCCTTTTGCACCAGACCCCCGCGCTCACAGCCCCTTGCCCCCAGGCTGTCTGCAGAGGGGAGCCTGGTCCCGAGGGAACGGGCCTAATCCTGGGGAGCTGCTCCAACTCTGCAGCTCCAAGTTCCTACAACTGTGGGGGATGTGCACAGAAGGGTTAAGGATGGCAGGGGAGGGGGCATCTACTACGTGCTAGCCTGCTGCCCGCCCTCACTTCTTGACCTTGCCCTGAGCAGCAACGGCCTCCATGGCCTTGCGCACCGTTTCTTCATCTCCCAGGAACTGCATGGGCTTGACAGGTTTCAGGTTCTTGTCCAGCTCATAGACGATAGGGATGCCCGTGGGCAGGTTCAGCTCCATGATGGCCTCTTCTGACATGCCTGCGAACACAGAGGTGCTGTCGCTCGTGGGCTGCTCGCACAGTGCCAGCTGGGGCGGTGGGAAGACCCCCGCAATACCCCTGCAGGGCTGACGTACCTTCCAGGTGCTTGACGATCCCACGCAGGCTATTGCCATGGGCAGCAATAAGGACTCGCTTGCCCTCTTTGATCTGTGGGACTATTTCCTCATTCCAGAAAGGCAGAGCCCGGGCGATGGTGTCCTTCAAGCTCTCACATGTTGGCAGCTGGTCCTCTGTCAGGTCAGCGTAGCGACGGTCCTGGGGAAATGGCCACGCTCACGCAGCAGCCCAGTGGCCCCAGCAGTGCGGGAAGGTGGTGGCAAGGCCTTTGTCCCTCCCCCAAATTCTCCACCTGAGGCCCCGCTACGTGTAGGCAAAACTGGGCTTGGAATCAAAGAAGCGCCTTTGAGGTTTGAGGATGCAATCAGCCATGGTCGGGGCTGTGAGCACCTCCTGGGAAAAGCCACACATTACTTGCTCTGGGTGAAGAGACCAGAGCAAACATCTATGCACAGGTCATGGGACTAATGATTAACAGAGGTATCATCCCCTCTGCTTTGAATCCATCCATGCAACATCCAGCAGTTCAACTACCCAGGGAAGGAGCGGGACAAACTCAGCCCAACGCCAACCAGCACCATGCATGACAGTCACCATGTGTGACAGAGACAGAGGAGACCTTGTGGAGGAAACCAGATGACGCTGCAGGACCTAAGATAGCTTTCAGGAGCCTCCCAGCAAGGCAGATGAAGAGCAATTGGTCTTACCTTGCAGATAGTGCTGTAGAAGGGGTGATCAGACTGCATGGGAGGTGGAGGGATGTCATACGAGCGCCTCCAGATCTTCACCTGCGCCTCACCATGCTTTGCCGCCGTCTCAGCCTTGTTCAAACCAGTGAGGGCTCCATAGTGCCTCTCGTTCAGGCGCCAGGTTCTGATAACGGGTAACCACATCTGATCGATGGCATCCAGAACGGTCCAGAGGGTACGGATGGCCCGTTTCTGTACCGAGGTGAAGCAAATGTCGAACTCGTAACCAGCATCTGGAAAAGACGGAGGAAAGCGGGGGGGGCACGAGGGAGGTGAGCGACGGGCCTTACGCAACCGGTGAGGTGCCAAGGGCGGC